TTCATTGTAGGTATCTAAGTATTGCAACTTAATACGAGAAAATAAAAAAATACGTGTGTAATATTTTTTCATTATCAAACTGACGGACTAATAAGATTTTAAATTTTGATACCCTGGAAACTACCCAATTACGTTTACTGAGACATATTATTATCTTGATCCCATCAATGTCTAATGTTAAATATTATTTCCACATTCGAAAGATATCTGTTAGTTCGCAACCATTATAGGTGACTACTTTATTTGCACTCCATTTTATACGGCAAACATGTCCCGAACTTTTTTACTGTTACCCGCTATCTTGCATGCAATTATTTATTATATGCACACACGTGTTTGAGAATTTGATTTGATTAGCATGCAGTATGTAAAATGGTGTACGCAATGAAAATGTTGGTAAATTAGTTACAGATGGCGAACTTGCTGGCGCGGGCCCCGCAGGCACACATGGCGTCGGACCGCGGCGTGACGTGGCACACGCCTACCCCGCCGCCCCACCTCTACCATGTACCGGCGCCTTCGCCCCCCGACCCCCTCCAGGTACTTAAATTCTTTTAGCTTCTGCCTGGATACAAGAATCAGATAGGAAGAAGTTGATGTTATGATGTAGACAAATTTTAACGTTGCATGATAATTTAACAACTACATAACATCGTACCGTTTTTTAAATAGACATGGGTGCAAGTATTTACTATAATAATATCCATCTTTGGCCAATTGTGGTTTGGGGCACAAGTTTTATATAATAGGGTGCAAGCTATAGATATGCTAAGTATGTTGATATTAAAAATTTGCAAAAAGCGAAAAATATTTATAATACTATTGTAAATGTATCTGTAATGTGTAAATGGTCAAAGGTTGATAATAAAATGTGCTAAGGTACCATTTTCAATTAACATCAAATAGCAACTATCAAAAAGTTTCAATCATTTAATTTAAGATCATAATTTTGGGATTGGGTTTCGTCCTTATTGTAGATTTTAACATTAATCATAATGTAACAAATATATACAATATTTTATAATACTCTGTCCGATCTATCACGTGTAGGTATAGATAGTCGACAAATGCCGTCATACAATATTTCAAACCAATATATCGTCATATAATATAAAACGTCCCCAATATTTTTTAATGATTCATTTAAAAAAAACTGATTTATTTTCGTGTTACTACAGAGCCCTCTCTTGGGCTAGCAATATAGTTGATGCCATGGTGCAGATCGCACAGAGTTTATCCGAGGTGTAACAGAATAAACATAACAAAATCTAAGAAGATGCATTTTACATACAAATTGATGTAAATCGCAAAACAATTTTAACATACTAAATTTTTTATTGAATATTCTGCATCTAAAGGTACTGTCAAAGTCAAAGTCAAAGCATTTATTTCAATTAAACCATAGTTTGGTACTTTTGAAACGTCAACAAATACAAAATAAATAATAGTCTGTCAGTCAGTCCGTCAGTGAATCTAGGTGAAGCTAGGTTCTCATTCCAAAATGTAGATTCGAATGGAGAAGAACGAGCAAGAAACTCCATTCGTTACTCTTTTAAAAAAAGTATGTTCTACAATGTCTCTGATACATATTTCAATACTGTACGCATATGTGAGAACAATATGTTGTGTACTAATATGTTCAAATATCAAGCACTTGTCGATTCGCAAATATGCCCGAAATGAGCAACATCCATGCTAATTTTGAGCAACATTCCGACACATACTACTAAGTGACAAGTGGTCAATTGAAGCACGCTGTGGTGTTTGAATTTAGCATATGTAACAGTACCCTAAAGTGTATTGCTTACAATACAAATTCAAAGTCAAAGCATTTCAATTAAACCGTAATTTGGTACTTTTGAAATGTCAACAAATTACTATGTAGTATTTATACTATACTATACTATGTAGTATAAAACAAAGTCGCTATCCGCCGTCTGTCTGTCCCTATGTATGCTTAGATCTTTGAAACTACGCAACGGATTTTGATGCGGTTTTTTTTTTAATAGAATGATTCTTAGGGAAGGTTTATATGTATAATACATGCATATTGCACCCGTGCGAAGTCGGGGCGGGTCGCTAGTACAAAATAAATAATAGTCTGTCAGTCTGTCTGTCAGTGAAGCTAGGTGCTCATTCCAAAATGTAGACTCGAATGGAGAAGAACGATCAAGTAAATCTAATCGTTACTCTTTTAACATACCCTGCGTTTATTCTGTTACATTGTTAAGATATTGTACACATATAAATAACAATCATACTATTGCATACTACTAACTTCTGTATATTAATCTACCTTATCGATTACTATCGTAGGGTCTGTTGCAATTGCAGGCGTTAAAGTCCGCCAGCGGGAACTCAGTGTTCCGACACACGGCCACCCCGCCCGAACTGTACAGACACACACCCACCCCACCAGACAAACATCACATGAGGTAAGTTCTTTATAACATACCCATCTAATTCGGTTCAAATAGCTCCTGTGTATGAAACTGAACTACTGTAAAGTACTCTAAGAGCTCGTACTCGTACACAAAACTGCGATGCGACGTCGCATGGCAAAAATATGCGAGCTCCTTCTACGCATCGCAAGAACTTGCGAATTGATTCGCTTCGCGCATCAAGATCTTATCTTTCCAAAATCTTTTTTGTTTCTTTTTCCTGTATCTCCTAAGCAATAACAGAAGTTCACACTTCTTTTTACGATCCATGTCACGACCTCGTTTTCAATTTAAAATATCGCATCGCAGTTTTGTGTACGAGCCCTAAACAATATGGTAGTTGCCAGGGATTGAAAATAAAAAATCTAATTTGTCCGTCAGTTAGATAATGTAAAAATATTAGACACGTATTTTTATTATTTTCTCGTACAATACTTAGATAAAATGGAGTTAAGTTAAGGATTGGGAGGTCGTTACGTCACAATATGCTATTGCATTTTGTAGCACTTTGTGACGTCAGACGTCACACGATTAATCTATCATCGAAAGTATTTAATTTTGTGGTTTAAATTAATCTACCAGACGGACATTAAAATAAAATTTAGGCAAGAAGTGTAGTTGCCTAAATTTTCTAGTTGCGGGCGCATTTTCTAGTTGAACATGAAGTTCGTCGGGACATTTAGTTCGTTTGGACTACTCATTAAAAAATCTTTTAATAAACATCCTATATGTTGTATAGGAATGCACTAGTATAGATACTATTCTAATCCATATCCTATTGTCGGTTCCTGTTTTTTTTTATTTTCAAACAAGTACGTAAATATTTGTACGATACGTTTTCAGGCACACTCCATCCCCAGGCGACATTAAGGCGAGCGCGGCGTTACCACCAGTAGACTTATATCAACATTTGGCACCTTCGAGAGGTAATATTATCTACTTTCAAAACAAACTCTATAGGAGGCGCGACCGAAGCGATACAGAAGGTAAAATTACGCTAAATGATATGTTAATGAGTACGAACGCATCCGGTTTCCTGTCCGAATATATACTGAAGCCGCACTGCACTTAGCGTGTCGTGAGTTGCTAGATCAGCAAAACATGTTTGATCGTAGATAATTTATCGAACAGTCTCACTCGTAGAAGTTCTATTGCGCCTTAGACAAACATCATGTTCAGTTTAAAGCAAGTATGGGTTATATTACTTTCATTGTTCAATTTCGTTCTGTGATTATAGCAGAGAAGCTGCGCGCGGATGACTTGATGGCGTACACGCGGGTGGGCGTGGACCTGTCGCTGGGCGGCGGGCGCGCGGCCAACGGCGCGGCCACGTCGCCGGCCGCCGCGCCCGCCGCGCCGCCCGCCGGGCCC